TTTTATTATAATTACAATTATATCTATTGATTCTCACCTTCGTATCATTATCGTTAAAATGTTTTAGTATTGCTCTAAAGTAAGTCTAGCTTTAACTACTCTTAAATTTCTTTGCATATGATGTTATAAATTTTCTCATTTTAAATGTAGCTGATTGATCTTGGTTATCATATTTTTCCTTAGCCTAAAATCACTTCTTTGTTTTCTCGGTTTAAATACTATTTTGATTTATATACTTTTGACTTTGGTTCATTTTGATCTATGTGTTTTTGTGTATTTATTTTGTTTATTTTAGCCAATATACTTTCAAAATGTTTGTTTTTGTATTTTTTAAAAGTGACCAATTTTACCCGTATTTACAAAATTTTAACATAAATTTTATACACAATAGAAACTTTTTAATATAAATTTATGGGTGCATTTCAAGAAATTTAGATAATGTTGAGTGTCATACTAAAATTAGATTGAAAAAAACGAAATAAAAAGTGAAAATGAAAAGACCAAAATATAGTTGCTCAATAAAAGTAGAAAAATAAATATTTTGAAAGTACATCAACTACTAAATTGAACAAAACTTGAAAGTACGAGAACAAAAATATACCTTTAGAATTCAAGGACTACAATAAACAAAATAAAAAATACAAGGAACAAAATAGCAAGTAAACAAAGAAAATAACAAACAATAAAAAAACCAAAAAAATTTACCTGAAAGACTCCAAATTGGAGACTAACAATTACTCATCCTAAAGAAAATCGACTACTCATAATAATTTTCTCATAAAGAAAAGAAAATCCACTGTGGGAAAAAATTTATAATCAAACTGAAATCTACTCTTTAAAATGTTTCTAATTAAAGTAAAAAACCAAAACTGTGAGCTCCTTTACAGTATTTTGAGCACATTATTACTCTACTGTTTTTTTTTTCTTTTTTTAATTCAACTCTATTGTAATGTGAGATTTTTACTTTTTCAATATTTCGCCAAAAACATAACACTTTTTCTTTGCATCGGCAAGCACTTTTCCACTTATCGATTTCTGGCACCACATAAATTTTCTTGTCTCTAATTCTATTTATCCAGAAAATAAATTAAATATTGTAACATTAATAAATTGTTTAATGTGTTTGAAACTTGGAATAAAGGTGTAAGAATGGAATTGAAATGAAATTTATTTAACATATGTGAAATATATGAAAAAATCACTTTCTTAAAACCAAGGGATAGTTTGGGTAGTTTGGGATCACCTTAAAAAAAAGGAGATAATTTACTTCTTCAAGTTTTCTTTTTACCTATACCAATTATTGTGATCCTTTATAGTTTTAAAATAAGAAAAAAGAACAACTTTATTGAATTATATTTAATATCATGTTTCAAATGTTTATTGATTATATTTTAATAATTATTTCAAAGTATATATGTCAAACGATTAGTATATGAGGTTTCTAGTACACCATTATTAATTTGATTATATTCTTTTGTTCACATAAAAAATCATCATTTTAATTAATAGTTTGTAATCCTTAGACAAGAACGAGAAACAAAATACTAAAAATAGTATTAAATTAAATATAGTATTTTACTTTATTTTATTTATATTTTATTGATCAACCTTTAAATAAAAATATTATTCTGTGGTTTTACAGACAATCAATAAATAAAAACATTATTTTGTGGTTTTACACACAACCATTCACTTTTTTTTTTCTTTTAACAATCCATTCACTTTTAATTTCAAGTATAAACTTTTCTACATAAATTGTATTTTAAATTAACATAAAATAAATGAAAATATAAAATAAAATATCTTTCCAAAACAACCTTTCAAACAAAGAAACAAGATTTTTTTTTTAAAAGTGAAAATAAATTTCAGAAACACGTGAACCAACAACCCTATATATAAATAATATACATCACTTTAGTGATATACCTTTTTTTTTTCTTTTTCTATAAGTGTACATGAAAACCTATCGTGAATATCACATATTTAGAGTCCAATATCTCATTTAAAAATAAATGGTCTAAAATGTTAAATAAATATAATTATAGATATTAAGTTCTGAGACAAAAATAGGTTAAAACCTAAAATAACCAACATAAACTCAAATACTGTAGCTTCTCTTAACACACAAATCTGACACGCTGGCACAGTACTGAGTAGAGAGGATGCCACGTATCGCCGCCAGAAGCCGACCTTCAACGCTGGGCGCTGACTCGTGGCCAGTACTGGCTGACATGGCGCGTTGTGGGCGTTTTGGTAATTGGGCTGGGAGGTTGAATTCCGGCCAGCGAATGATTTCTCGACAAGTATTTTGGGGAAGAAAGAAACAGTTGTTCAAAGGAGAAAAATAAAAAAGAAAAGTTAAAACGAGTACGTTGAGGAGTGTAGGGAGAGCAACGTGTCAGTCGGTAGTTGGTGGTGCGTGTTTTTACTTTACGTGGCACATAAACAAAGCAAACAAAAGAAAGAAAGAAAAATATTTTTGAAAATAAATATATATTTATATCCTTTGGAGTTCGGCCTATCAGAAACCCACGATCGGAGATGAGTCCTCTCGATTTTTTTCTCTCCCATTTTCATGTAGGTAAATATTTGTATTCATTTATATTTCCAAGATTACGAATATACGAGTATAATAGATCATCGATTAAAACATTAGAGGTTTGAATTCATTTTTTTTTTGGAAGAAAATGCACCATTTCATTAAAAAGTATATGAGAAACATGCATACAAAAAAGAAGGTGTCTAAGTGAAACATTTAAATTGAGAGAAATGATAACTATATCGTAATTAAAAAAGAGATTGGATTTAGAGGACCAAGCACGAGATCTAGAAACCTTCGAGAAAATGCGATTGTTTCTTTCTAGCCAAACTTTCCACAAGACTGAGTTAATAGCATTGTTCCACATAATATCACTTTTGAAATTGAGAGGCTTGGAGAGGCTCTCTAGAATAAAATTATCAATATATGGGAGAATATTTGAAAGTTAGAATGTGCGAAAAAGAAGCGACCATAGAGAATTTGCAAGAACACATGGTTTAGAGTTTCTTCGCTACCATCACACAAATTTGGGTGGAAAACCACAGAGGGGAGATGAACCAACACAAAATGTGGTTTAAATTCTCATCTGGTCGAATTAAAAAAATTATTCAAAAATTCCTTTAATAAACTATTTTGGAATTTCTCCTTTCCATTCATTAAGAAAGATATTCATCTTATAAATTTTTTTTAACTTATTTACAGATATTTTAATAAATTTTAGAAATAAAAAAATTGAAAATAAAATATCTAATTTTACAATTTTCGGTTCATAAATTGTATATAAAATTCCAAACTAAAAGTAAAAGTGACATAGTATTGGGAGCACTCTATTTAAAAAAAAAAGGTTAAATGGAAGTTCCATTTTATAAAAAAAATTAAGAAATAATTATCCTATACATTTTCATGTCTCAGACAGAGTAAATAATGATAAATTGTTGTCAAATGCTTAAGTTTCTTAATAAATTTAGAAATTAGAATGTTACCAAATGACTCTAAGTTACTCCACTTCATCTGGTGTGTTACTCATGGAAGTATCACTATAGCCGATCAGATTCAATCACACATGAAATCCCTCTACCTCAACCCAATCGGTGTCCCCTATTTGTCCTATGTGGAAGGAGCAACAAACTTTAGATATACATTGGGAATTCTAAAAAAATTTATAGAATTTCCTCTTTCAAACCTTCAGACTTTCCCTATCTCCCCCTTGTAATGTTGTGGACTTCATGGCAAGAAATGCCTTCTAATTGTCCCAAATCTAGGCACTTAATCC